AGACAATAGATGGCTGTTTATGGCAACGAGGCTCTCCAAGTTTGGGGCTAGGCGATAAATCTCTGGCAAATCTTCCTGTAACTCAACTTCTGGCTGTAGAGCACCGCTGAGACCACAGAGAGGAACACAACAAAATGGGGGAGATGGCTTCCCCACTGGGGCCAGCGCAGGCCACCACATTTGCCCCACTCATGCCAAGCAGTGGGTCCGTGGTGTGAAAGCTTTCAGATGAAGCTTCAGAACACAGCCAAGAGTCAGGGATCCCAGCTACCCACCCTGGCTTCCCGGCTCCGAAAATCAGTGTGAAATGTCAGGCTGATGGCAGAGCTTAGAGGCTGGGCCAGGCTCACAAACCTTTCTTGCAGGAGGCAAAGGGTCTTTTTTGTTGGTGACCGGAATCTTCTAGCTGTGTGTCACCTGAATTTTTTCACCACACACCTCCCTCCTCTCTCTCCCTCCGTCTGTCTCTCTCTCCCTCCCTCTCTCTCTCTCTCTCCTTTTCCTTTTTGGATTGATGGGCTGTCCACTTTTGCATTTTCGACCCAGGCGTCTGATTACAAGTAAAGAGCCACTGAAGTTGATCTCATAAAAATGCCGCGAGCTCACTTTGATCAGTGCGGACTGGATCCGAGAGCCTAAGTAGGCGCTAAAGCCAGGGAATGGCGGCTCCGGCCAACCCAGCCCCTCTGGCCACAGGGAGGCTGGAGATCCGGGTGGCCCAGTGTTGCAAGATGGCCCAGAAAAAGTATTTTCTGTGCTGCTGCGACTGGGTTTAGGAACTGAGGCCTAGTAGTGGCGGCTTCATTTCCAGACTGTTTTTAAGGCATTTCCTTCATTTTAGAGCATTTGGCAAGGGGGGCAGTGAAACTAGCTCGTAAAATGGGTCTTTTATGGGGAGAAATGGGGTTGCATAGTTAGCCTCCTGGGATAATCCCTCTGAGGAGGAAGCTAGGTGGGGCCACAGGGGTGGAAGAGCTGCCCCACCCCCACCCTGTTCATAGGCCCTAAGAACTTTGGAGCAGGGTCCACCTGATTAGATGCCTGACTTGGGACCTTGGGCTTGGAGCAGAGGTCAGAGCTGAGGAGAGATGGGGAACTGTGAACCGGCAGCTCCCGCCCCCTTTAAGTTCTCTGGCTGGGGGTGAGGGGTGTCCCGGGTGCAGGATAAACTGCTGGCCTGAAAATCTCAAAGCACACTAAAGGGATTATTAATTGTATCGATAATGTTCCAAGAGAGAAAAATATACACAAAAAGGTACAAGCAGATTTCTAATGAAGGCTTGTCTTCGCCACCCTAGCCGAGGCACCGCTGAGGGTGTCCCTTCATGGGACTGTCTCCACTTGTTTTTTGATTGACTCCAAAAAGGGCTGAACTCACAGCCCTAGCCGGCCATGCTCTAACGGGCCCCTTTCTTCCCCCAGGGTTTTCCTCCTAGCTCATGGTCTATGGCATGAGATCCTTTCGCTACCACAGTTTGTTCCCTAGGACCCAGAACAGGGGAAAGAGGCAGGCAAGCAGCAAGGCGGCCCCAGCACTGAGAGCAAGAGGCTGCACTGGGAGCCCTCCAGCTTGGATTTGGGAGACACTGCCCCCTTCTGAAGCCACCCCTGCTGCAAGAGGGAAGGGCTCTGGAGTTGATGACCCTGGCCACACTAATGCAGCAGCCGCCCAGACCACAGCTGACTGCTAGATGCAAGGCAGACAGGCAGTGTGACTGAGGCAACCAAGAGCCTATAGGGTGGGCAGGATGACCCTGCCATTGCGGATTTCAGGTGAAGGCAAGACTCCAGGTGGGTGGAAAGGCCTGAGGTGCTCACAAGGTGGAAAATTTTAAAAAGTCTCCACTCTAAAGAATGGAGTCTGCCTGGGCTGTTGCTTGGGAATTTGGGAACACAAATGGGTCTCATGTTGGGAGAGGCATTGTGGCCCTGGCCGAGAAGCATCTGTGAGAGGGTACAACCTGGTGCGGGCAGCTCAGCTGATAGCTTCAGGGTGGCCTAGACTCAGGCCCAGCAGGGAGGCCGCCACCCCACACCATGGGCATTTTTGCCAATCATCACCTCACTGACCTCAGCGGGCCAGGGCCTTCTCTCCCTGACCCTAGCAGCAACCACCGGCTGCTAAGATTTTTTTTTAAGTTGTTGAAAAATTACAAGTTAGACACAAAGTAAAAGAAAAAAGTCTTAAACTTTGTGCCTTACTTTTGGGGAGGGGGAATACTACTTCCCAGAAGCCTCTGTTGAGAGACCCGAGTTTCCTGGACATCAAATCCTTTGACATTCTTTCTTGCCTTTCTTTTCTGTTTCAAAGAAATAGAGCCGCCGCTGGCAGTTCCTTGCAGCCCGCCGCCCGCAGCCCGCCTGGCTCACTTTTATGGTGGCCCTGGAATAAACTTTGGTGGTCAAATTCAAGTGCTCAGGCCCAGAGCTGTCTCCTCATAGACAGCCCCCCCCCATCGTCAGCCCCAGCGGGGCAGAATTCACCTTGGGGGCTTGGGCCCCGATTGCCTTAGAAGCCAGGAGGGGGAAGGAAGCGGGGCCTTGGAGGGAAAATGGGGAAATCAGGAGCTGAGACTGTGGGCCCTAACCCAAACTTCAGCAGGAGATGGGGGTACCGCTCACTTCCCTTTGCAATTCCTATCACTGCTTGGGGAGCATTTTGCCTCCAATAAACTCTAGTTTAATGAGGTCAGTGTGAACCCCATAAAACCCACAATCCATGGTTCCCCACCATTATAATTAAAAAATGCAATCCCCCCTTTCCCTATAAAATGGGCTAAACAAAAGAGGAAAAGCAACAGTTTTTCTTCTCTAGGCTCCTTCCTGACTGAGAAGTCCCGCATTACAGTCTAGTTCCTTTTTCGCCCACAGTTCAGATCTGGCCGAGATTAAAGGGCTTGAGAAGCAGCACCCGACACTGAGTGGGCAGAGGGGTGCTGGAGATCTATCCTTGGTTAATCCAGAGCCGCTCTGAGGCAACCACTCCAAACACGGAACCCATGTCCCAGGAGAACTCCACCCTACTTATTGTTCTAAAGGCAGAGCAAGTTTGGAAGGCAGAAAGGTTAAGGAGAAGTGGATTTTGGGGGGCTATGTTTGGAGGCAAAATACTATTTTTTGTGTCCTCCCCATCTGGTTTTTGGGCCTCAGCACACTCTCCTGCTTTGGTAAGGAAAATCAAACTCAAATCACTTTTTGAAAAGTGGAAACCAATGCTAACCAAGTTAGGGGTGTAGAGAGGGTTGGGGTGATTTCTAGATTTCCCGGAGAGCACAGTGGGCTGAGTCCTTGGGAGCTTCAGTTCCTCCCCCTCTTCCCAAACAAATCATGCCCCGGTGGTACCTTCTTGGATCCAAGGTTGCTTTCCACTCATGCTGGTTGCTCTGGCCCCTTAGACCCAGTCTAGAACCTTTCAATAAAGTAATTTGTCATTTGTGCATCTGTGTCCTGTGGTCCCGAGAGGTATGGAAGGGGAGAGGAAAGGTGGAACCGTCAGCCCCTTAGGCTACAGCCATCAAGTAGGCTACCAGACTTGAAGGAGAGCAGGACAGGGCTGATAAATAGGCAAGAGTCACTGCAGAAGCCTGGCTACAGCTCCAGGTAGCCAGGACAGGGGGGCTTCCACTAGGGAGTGGACCCTCCCCTGCGTACCTAGAGCCCGCACATCTCTTCCATTGCCCTACTAGTCTATCCTGAGACCCAGCCCTGGCCTCGCTGCCCACCTCGCAGCCCACAAATCATACAAGGGTGAGAGTCCCAGTGCCCCCACCATCTCCTTCCTGGGCCTGGACACAGGGTTCTTTTTCAGTTTCCTGACCAAGGTTACGGCACCATCGTGGTGCAGTGGTTAAAGTGCTCAGCTGCCAGCTAAATGGTCGGCAGTTTGAACCCACCAGCTACTCTGTGGGAGAAAGATGTGGCAGTCTGCTTCCATAAGGATACAGCCTTGAAAACCTTATGGGACAGTTCTACTCTGTCTTATAGAGTCGCTAGGAGTTGGAATCAACTCAATGTCAATGGGCTTTATTTTGGGGGTTTTGACCGAGCTTGAGCTCTCAACCCAGAGGGCTCTGACAGAAAAGATACATGGCTCTCATTCGCAAATCTTTTTCTTTGGGGTTTGGGATTTAAAAATGCACAGTGGATGTAGCTTTCTGCACATTGATTGACAATAAAGGCAAGCATGAAATATTCACCCAGGGCCACTCTCTCATACTAAATATTTAACACAACATTAGAGAAGGTTTTTCCCAGACTTCACCAGGCACCGGCTGGGCGGCTGGCGCACTGCTTACCACTGGTTTATGACTAATTCGGAGTCCCTAGCCGGCAGCAGCACAGCGAGCCAGGCAAAGTTGGGATACTGGCTTGCAGCTGGGCGGGCTCACCTTGGGGAAACTTCAGATACTCTTCCCGGGGAGTCTCCTCCAAGGGGAAGAGAATCTTGACACCCAGCCCCTGCCAAGAGAAGAACCGACTTCTTCCAACTCTTGCAAACAGGCACTGACCCATTTGCGGGTTGGAGGGGTAAGAGTCCCTGAGACTTGAGGGGGGCGGGATTCACTCCTCTGGTGGAAGCAGGCAGAGAGAAAGAAGTCCTCCCTCCACACCAGTCAGATTCGGCTGATCTCTGGGAGGAGGCACGACACCCCCCCATATGTGAGAGCCCATCTCCTTCCCCCAATCCTGGGGAAAAAAAAAAAAGAAGAAGAGCAGCAGCTAAGAAAAAATACAATTACCCCCTCCCAGCCGCCGCCCCCGCCCACCCCACCTCCCACCCCACCCCAACTCTCTCTCTCCTCCTTTCCTCGCTCTGTGGAATGGAGAGGAGGGGAGTGACGAGAGAAAAACGAATACAAATCTGCAATTGATTTTCATAATGTTTCTGCGGTGTTTGCAAACCAATCGCCTGAACGTCCCCGATCTTACCTAAGAGAGAACCCCTCCTACGTCTGCGAAGTGCTCGGAACTGATATATGACAATATCTACTTTGGATCACGTGCTCGGGGGAGAGAGACTAAGACGGATAACGCGTCATCTCGCCTTCCCAAATTTTCCCCCCTCGCTAGACCGGGTCCAAAATCTCCATCCGGAGCCGGCAGGAGAGGGGAACGATGTTCAACTCGGTCAACCTGGGCAACTTCTGCTCGCCGTCGCGCAAGGAGAGGGGCGCTGATTTCGGCGAGCGGGGGAGCTGCGCCTCCAACCTCTATCTGCCCAGTTGCACTTACTACGTGCCCGAGTTCTCCACGGTCTCCTCCTTCCTGCCCCAGGCCCCCTCTCGTCAGATCTCCTATCCCTACTCGGCCCAAGTGCCCCCGGTCCGGGAGGTCTCCTACGGCCTGGAGCCCTCTGGCAAGTGGCACCACCGGAACAGCTACTCCTCCTGCTATGCGGCGGCCGACGAGCTCATGCACCGGGAGTGCCTGCCTCCTTCCACCGTCACCGAGATCCTCATGAAAAACGAAGGATCCTACGGCGGCCACCACCACCCCAGCGCCCCGCACGCAGCCCCCGCCGGCTTCTACTCCTCAGTCAACAAGAACAGCGTCCTGCCTCAAGCCTTTGACCGCTTCTTCGACAACGCCTACTGCGGCGGCGACGCGCCCGCCGAGCCCCCCTGCCCGGGCAAGGGCGAGACCAAGGGGGAGCCCGAAGCGCCTCCAGCCTCGGGACTGGCGTCCCGGGCGGAGGTGGGTGCGGAGGCCGAGGAGGAGAACACGAATCCCAGCTCGTCCGGTTCAGCCCATTCGGCCGCCAAGGAGCCGGCTAAGGGAGCCGCCCCCAGTAGGTAGCAGCGGCCGGGGAGCAGGCGGGCAGCGAGGGTGGGAGGGAGGGCGAGAGTAGGGGGGAGGCGAGGGGAGTGGGGACGGCCTCATGTTTTGGGTCAGTCCGATTTTATGTGGAGTTTTATAAGCATTCAAAGGATTTTATTATAACCTACAAAGCCCTCTCTCCCAACGACTCGACTTTTTACGATGGAGAAGAGGTGGGGAGGGAGGGAAAAGGGCTCTTTGGAAAAGCCGGGTGAACCCCCTCCCCCGTTATCTCTCTCGGTCTGTGAAATTTTTAAAAGCGCCACCATCGCGGGTGATATTAACTTTGATCGTGAACTTAGAGGAGCCTTTAAAGAAGGATGGGGAGCCGGACTGCCGGGGGTGGGAGGGAGGGGAGGGGTGGAGGGGGAGAAAGGGGAGGGCGAGGGAGAGACACCGGGCAACCCACAGAGGGGGAGAGGTGGGGAACAGAGGCAGTGAAGCAGGACCTGAGACCGGAGAGGAGAGCCAGGGCCGCTCTGCTGCTTTGAAAAACTGTTTTTGAAAATGTTCAAACTATGTGTCCGAGGGTTCTGGAACAGAAACGCGAGCAGCCAGGGTCGGCGGCAGCAGGGCAACAGGGTCAAGCGACTCAGGGCTGCATTCTCCTTCGGCCTGGAGTCGCCGCGTTTCTCCCAGGTCCAGGGCTGGGAGAAGGGCTCAGCGCTGGCCCGGCCGGGCAGCGTGGAAGGCGCGGCCCGGTGCGCAGCCCGGGGAACCAGAGCCCCGGGAGTGGCTCTAGGGTGTCTTTGGCGTCTGCTCCCTTGCTTCCTCCTTGCCTCCCCACTGCTCTTGCCCCATCATCCTTCTTCGCGCCTATTCTCCGCGATCCCCCCAGATTTCTGGAGGAGGGAACAGTGGGTAAGAGCCACTAGGAGAGAAGAGCGGGAAGGGGCAGAGGGCCGCCGCCGCGCAGGCAGGGGGCCCACGGGGACGCACGTGGTCCTGGCTGCCTTGCCTTCTCCCCCAGACCCCGTTTCGCCTTGAGGAGGGGGAGCGGGTCCCCAGAAACCCGGGACTGGGATAAGCTAGAGCTAGCAGGGTGATCGCAGCTTCCCCTGGCGCCGTGGACCCGCGCGAGGAGAGCCGGCTTGGCCTGGCGGGAGGGCTGGGAGAAGGGCCGCTGAGCGCTCAGCGGGCTGAGGTCGCCCGGGTCTCACGTGTCTCTCTCCCCCTCTCCTCGCACTTGCCCCCTCCCCCCTCCAGACGCCCCCCGCACCCGCAAGAAGCGCTGCCCTTATTCAAAATTCCAGATCCGGGAACTGGAGCGAGAGTTTTTCTTCAACGTGTATATCAACAAAGAGAAGCGGCTGCAGCTGTCCCGGATGCTGAACCTGACTGACCGACAAGTGAAAATTTGGTTTCAGAACAGAAGGATGAAAGAAAAAAAACTGAGCAGAGACCGGCTGCAGTATTTCTCGGGAAATCCTCTGCTGTAACCCGCAGATCAGGGGCCCTTTTTTTGGGGGGGAGGGGAAATTATTTTATTTTATTTTTATTTTTTATTTTCTAATTCGCCTTCTTTCCGCGGGTGGAAAACTGGACTGTGGCCAGGGCTGGCCCCCACTCGCGTTGCCGGCACTTCTTTCTGGAACCTCCTTCACCTTCGGTCTGACTCTCGTGGTGGGACAGGGACCAGGCTGGAAAGGGGGTGAAGGGAAGTGTCTGACCCACGGCGGGTGAACACCGTGGACGCTGAGGCCAAGACTCTTTATTTAAAAGAAAATACACTTCGCGACAATGTCTTGCTGCTCTGATTGGGTGAGGGAAAGGGAGAGAGTAGTGGGCGCCTGACGAACAAACCTTGAATTCAAAACCTTCCCTTGCTCAAGTGAAAAGATCCACTGAGACTTGGTGTCTGCGAGGGCTCCCCGCCCCACGCCCACCTCTCGCCCCACTGCTAGGGGCAGCTAAATGTGATCCCGCCTTGCTGTGAAATTTCTGTACCTTTGACCTGGTGTTAGGTGTGCAAAGTCCGTGTCCTACCTCCGTCTGTGCCCAGGCCCCGCCTGAGCCTAGTTATTCCCCCCAGAAAAGTGTGGAGTCCTCCTTTGAAATTTCTTAACTGACGCATTGAGGTTTCCTAACCTTTTCCCAAGCCGTGCCCCACTCCATGGATTTATAGTTATAGTCTATGCAGTTGGTATCTTCGTCTTCTTTTTTTTTTTTTTTTAAGAGAGAAAAAAAGAGAGAGATTGGGGTGGAGGAAGCAGTAGAGAGATGAGATTGGGTGCCCCCCCCCAGGGCCTGAATTTTTGTAAATACATTTCACAAGCTTTTCTTTCTACCCAGAGGGGTTAGGGGGCGGATGATGCGCCTGGAATGCAATTCGAATCACCCATCTCTCTTCACGTGTGTGCCTGCGTGTGTATGTGTGCAATGCCCATCCTGCTCCCATCCCAGAGGGACTGATGTGAATTTTTTTTTTTTTTGGTGGCAAATAAAGATATTTCATTCTGTTCAATATTATTTTATTTGACCCTTTTATTAGCCTCTCTCTTTCTTAAAACCCTCCATACTGGCGAGGAGGAGGAGGCTGCTGAGGCCAGCAGGAGCCTGAGGACAGGCCTATGGAGGTGAGGTAGGCCTGAGTTGCCGGCCTGCACCACCTCACGGTTGGCAGGGGGCAAGAGTGTGGCAGTAGCTTCCTCCCACTCCTAAGCTGAGGACATTCCACGGCTACTCTTAAGCTCTCCTTTCTCACGTGCAGCTTGAGCTGTGTCCAAATACCCAGCGACGCTTTCCCGTTTAAGTACACGTTTGTTGTGGAGTTAATTGTAACCATCATCGAATTTAAATTTATAGGAATTTTCTTGGCTCTACCGCCCTCCCACCAGATGTCTCCGTCTGTCACAGTTAAATGTGCAGGGTTGAGGGTAAGGCTTCCTTTTTTTTTTTTCTTCTGTGAGAAGACTGTATTGGAATTTTTATATACAGTTTTGAGGGGAGGAGGAGAAGCCAGCCCCCTCCTTTTACCCTCTGAGGCCCCTGGGGGTGGGAAGGTGGGGCCAGACCCCTTCCCCTCAGGCACAAATGGCCAGGTCCTCCAGACACAACAAGACAGCTAGCCTGGGGCCACCCTGATGTTTATACTTTGGGTCTTCCAGAGTAGAAAGCCCCAGAGATTTGTATTATAGAGGTTGGCATAGGGAGGGATGCTGGAGAAGGAGGTTTCCCTCCTGGGGACAGTTACCACACCCATCTATAGTTGATGCATGTTTCTTCTGTGTAAAGATAACTATGCTCCCTTTAGCGCTTTCAGTGAGGGAACTTGTTGGTCTGCATCCCCAAATTCATTATTTGGGGGCACGGGTTAGGGACCAATTCTCTCATCTTTCCCCTTTCTTTGGAACCTTTGTTGTATAATGTACAGAAAATGTTTTTGCCAATATAATTCTGCTGCCAACATAATTCTGTTGAATGAAAGAAGAACACCACAACTGTCGCATCTAGGAGCTGTCATTGTTTTTGATGGCTAGGATCCTGCAGTTGTATCTGAATCCCTAATTCGTAAATGTGGGTCCTGAGATAAGATATTCAAACTGGGGTGTATGTGCAGCCCCACAGTTCCCCTGTATATCCAAACAAATATTTTATTGTGGTCAACGTGCCTATGTGAGAAGAAATATTATTTGTACACTTTTGCCTGTAATATGGAGTAAATCTGAACACACACACATCTAGGGCTTGTGTCCTTTGGTGTGTGTAACCACCTACAGTGTTTATCGCAGGAATGCAACTGAAGGTCCTGTGTGTGTGTATGAGAGAGAGAGAGAGAGAGAGAGAGACTCCTCCGGGTGTGATATTTATCTATATCTGAGAACATTGGAGACAACTATATAGGATGAACTGGTTTATAAGGTAAAATATTTGTCTCAAACTGGCTTTGGAGAAAAATATTTAAATTCTGTAGCTACCATTTTCCTTCAATGCACAATCCCTGAAAAGATCCCCAGCTCCCAGAGGGGCTTTTGAAGGATAGGGGGTCATCTTGAAAGAAAAACAAAGGCTTCCATGACTCAGGCCTGGAAGCCTGCCAGTCCTAGGCAACCCTCTAAAAAGGAGAAAGAAAATGGGATCTCTTCTCCCCAAACAAACCCATCTTCAGGCCCCCAGAATGTCCAACCCCTCTTGCCGGTCAGGGGCACTCTGGGCTCAGCCACTCGGGGTAATCCCCTATAGCCGCGGTGCTGCCCTGGAACAAAAGATCTTCGTCTAGACGCGGCCATAAAGCGCCCCCCCATGCCTCTAAACCCAGTTTCATTTCGCTCTTAATGACCCAGTCTGGCCTGTGTTAGAAAACGCTTCCGCCCTAAATAGTAAACAAACCCACAGTGGACGGTCTTGGCTCCCCCAGTACACCCCAGACCCCCCTCACCTCATCACCCCATTGCCCACGTTTTCCCTCTTCTCTTCCAGGCTTTCTCAGCTCCCAGTTCCCCAGCCCCCTCACTCCCACTCCCCCCAGTAAATAAACCGAGGCCGAGTTCAAAGTTTCCTGGAGCTAAGGAGGAATGTTGGTTGTAAAAATCCAAGTTTATAGCACACGTGGGGGTTTACAAGGGTATTAAGTGATGTGGGCTGAGAGAGAGAGAGCGCTGTAGTCCCCTCCCCCTCCTATGGGTTTTGGGGTGCTAAGGAAACCTGGGGGACTTGAAAAGAGAATAGGTTGGAAGCAGCCTTGAGTTGGGGGTTCCTTTGTCATCAGAGCCCTAGGTTTCTAGGAAAGGACAGGCAAGGATCCCTTGTCAAAAGGCTCAGGAGCTCCCACTGAGCGTCTCTGACAGAAAGCCCACAAGTTGGTTCTAGGTATTACAGATGGAGGGTTTGGGGGAGCCCTGCTTTTGGGGAAGTGAGAAAGGTGCAGACCAAGTATCTGGACAGTAAGCAGAGTTGGGAGTACTTGGAGATGATCCTCAATTAAGGGGGAAGAATCTACTCTATGTTGGACTAATTTCTCCAGTGGGCTGAGGGTAGAGAGGGCTTTTCACACCAGGGCAAAGAAGAACTTTGAACTTCAAGGGAGTCAAGGTCGCCACCCCTTCCCTCTCCCCGCCCCCTCAGGAATCTGTAGGACAATTCGTTTCTGGGCCAATATTCCCTGAAGGGGGCAGCCCCTGGGGTTTTCTGGTGCTCCAGGGATGGATAACGTTGTTTACTGCACTCTCTCTGCTCAGAGTCCGCCAGAACTGTGTACACGCGACTACACTCTTTATTATTCATATAAACCTTTGGAAGAGGCAACGCCCTGGGAAGTTTTTATAACTTTGTTTGGCATAAAAGTTTTACAAGATTTCCCTCCTCTCTCCTCTTTTTTTTTTTTTTTTTTTAACTTAAAGTTTTAGTCTTGCCATAGAATGAAATCTCAGGATTTTTGTGAGAGAGTAGAAAGAAGGGCTGGGGGGGTCTTGGGGCGGGGCTGGGGCTGCTTCTATCTGCAAAGGCAAAACAAGGTTTAAAGACTGGGCTGAACCTTTCCTGAGACCTACCTTAGATCTGGCTTTGGGGGCTGCAGACCTCCAGGAGAGTTCTGTAGACTCTGCTCTTGAGATGCTGCTCCCTTCTTGCAACCCCCCAAAGTTTGGACAAATATAGATATCATCTTCTGGGGTTGCCTAACAATGGGATGGAACCCATATGGGCAGGACTAGACCTCTCTCTCTCTCTCTCTCTCTCTCTCTCTCACACACACACACACACACACACACACATACCTATACACACATCCTAACCCATTGCACAAAGCAGAGACCCATACCCTGGACTCAGACTGCCAGTTTGGGAGGACTTCTGTGCACACAGCCCTGTATTTCTGCCTACTGCAAAGCAATAATAGGTTTGAAGAAAGAAAGAATCTGAAAGGTCTAGAAACTCCTACCCAGAGGTTACAGGACCTAAGACGAAAGAGGACTTGCAGGGCTTCCGTCTGGGAGTGTGGAGAACAAAGGTGCCCAAGTAAGGACATGGCTTTGGGCTGTCAAGCCCTTGGTGACCCTTGGACCTGCCCCCACCTAAGACTGACAGAACTCCACTCCCTCATTTCCCCTGACCTAGATGTAGGGGGCTCAAACTGAGGCCATTTTTGTGCTAAGCCCTGGAGGAAGGACAAAGATGAAACAACTTCCCCAAAGGCAGACCTGGCGGATAAGCCTCCTTTGGGTGTGAAGGAAGTGAAGTTACCTGAGCCCAGGAACGGTGGCTTCAGGGAGTCATCTGGATCAGTGGGGAAGTGCCCTAGAGCCTGCTTTTTCTTCCCTCTAATGGCGATTGCTGAGGCCTGGCGGCTGGCTGCCGGTAGGCAGCCCTACACTTCGCCTTGTGAGGGGCCGAACTAAGGCTGAAAGCCAGAGAAGGTCAACTCCAAGCCTTAGCAGAGGGGCTGAGGAGGGATTCCACATAGCCTGGTGCATCACCCCTCACCGAACCCAGTACAACCGAAAATAAATAAATAAATCAGAAAGGCCAAGGAAGAAAGTCAACGGGAAGGGAAGAAATGAGGAGGCAAGAAAAGAACAAAGATTAAATTGTATAATAAAGAAAGAAGAAACGCAGGAATCCATAGGACAATGATTTAAGAAAGCGAAGGTTAGGAAAAAGAAAAGGAAAAAGAACGGCAGGGAAAAAGAGGAAAGAAAATGAGAAAAAAAAAGAAAGAAGCAAATAAAGAGAAAGGAGGAGAAAGACACAAGACAGACAGGAGATGGCAAACAGCAGCGCTGTGCTCAAGTTTCCGTCTGGGACTCTGGGTCTTGGAAAAGGCACTTAGCCCGTGAGGGAGGAGCAGGGTTGTTCTCCAGAGCAAGCCGGCCGAACCGCAGACCCGACTCCACCCGGGAACCCGACTTACTGGGGCAACAGAGAAGGAAATCATTAGAATGGGGAGCAGGGGCCATCGCCCCCAACATGTCCTCCTATCCATTTCCTCCTCCCAAAGCTTCTCTCTGAAGTGTTTGCTGCCTGGTTTCGATTTAGGAGACAAAAGTTAAATAACTGGCCGCTTCGGCGGGACCAGGAAGCAGTTGGGCTAGCGAGGTTTCTCAGATTTTGGGATACGCGGATCGTAGGGAGCATTTTGTACAAAAGTGGATATTTGTGGCTGGGTACACACAAGTAAGTGCAAGTTAGACATGTGTGTAGACGCAGAATTCCGGGGCATCTGGGCGCAAATGTGTACCACGTCCAGATGTGAGATCAGACTACTCCGCTGGCGGGGCTGCCGGGGCGGCTGCGAATTCCCGAGCAGACCAGACGCCACTCCAAGAGTCTCGGCCTCCCTGCTTCCTCTGGTACCTGTTTTTAAACCTTTTCTCCCGGTCTATGAACATTCCACATTTTGCCTGAGATTTCCATGCTTCCAATTTAGCTAGGGTAGGAGCCCGTGATGGTGAAGAAGAGAAGCAAAGCTTGCCTTTAAGTTTTGGGAAGAGAATGATTTATCTGGGCCTCCAAAATGAGGGGAGGGGG